AGATTAGTTGCTAAATCAATGCAATTAAGACATATAAATTTAGAAGAGCAAAAGTGAAATATGACATATAGGGCTATCACATAAAGTAAGCAAATTTCAGCATATTGAAGATAAAGTCTGTCATAACACCAAAATAGACTAAACTAAGGTCCTACTTGAGTGTTGGATTTGCGTTGGCTATGTCCAATACTCAAGTGTTACGGACATTTTTTTATTTTTAAAATACGCCATACAAATATTATAAGTCACCTTTGGGCAAACTATAATATTCATATTAATTAGGCTAAAATATGCTACACGAATATTAATAATACGCCATACGAATATTATAAGTCACATTTGGGTAAAATATAATATTCATATTAATTAGGCTGGAAAATAAATTTTCACTATGTGTCACATAACGACTCGCCTTTGGGTTTGCCGTTTTGCTACACACTTTAGCAAACAATAATGGCTTAATTAGATTGATATCATATTTAAATAATTTTCCGTTGGGATAATGATTCAAATATGATATAAACATTAGTCATAATTCATAAAATCAAACAAAGTAAAAGCGAAATAAAATAATTCAGGGCCTCGTGATTTGTAATCTATCCTTTGAAACATAAGTACTCCGTATCAAATCAAAATATTCTACGTTTAGCATTATAAACAAAACGAAATACACGTAAACATTGAATTCCGTTTTTGGAACACAGTTATTATCCGAAAACAAGTGATTGCGCATACAATAATCATCCCATACAGTTATTATCCAATTAATTATCATCATGAACATCGGGACATGAGTGTCAGCAAGAAGAATAATATGGCGTCTATGTCTATCTGAGCGTCGATATCATATCCAAAATCTCGATTTTAACGTAAATTAAAAAATCAAAGAAATATTTTAACATAGAAAAAAATTTGGGCTTTCAGTTTGGAGAAGATACACAAAACCCAAAGATACGATTTCAACGCCTCAACGGTGGCTTCTAATTCGCTTTCTTAACAGTCAAACTCATTTGATATTCGCCGAATTTTAGATCAAGTTTAATCTCGTGATCAACACAGAAACGAAGGTTATAAAATATTTAGTTGGTTTGAATTGATTAAGAGAACTGCTCTGATACCACATGATGAATAATCTTAACGAATTAATGTTTCATTGACCTTCTCTAATCAAATCAAACACAACAATATATAACAAGTATGAGAAATGATTTACTTACTTGAATGGAATCCTATCTTGTTCGTGATAAAATGATGATTCCCGTTATGATGTCTAATTTAGTGATGGATTGATTAGTATGTCCCATAGAATCGAATTGGTGTTATTTATAGACTTATGGGGACATAAGAGAAGGGACACGACTAAACAATGTGTCCTTTCGTTTATTATGAAAGAAGAGACACAAATGAATGGTCACGTCTTATTAATTTATTTAATTATTACACATCTAATGGGAAATCAATTATCCCCTTATAACAATTACAATTACTCCCATCAAGTAATGTTTAGGTAAGACGGGGACACATTATATCATATTGGCGTAATTACTATTAAAATAGTAATAACTAAATAATTATTATAAATGGTCCTAAGGCCACATATAAAATGGAAAATATTCCGACATTTTTATCATCAAAACAGGCCTCTATTCATATAAAAAAATTCAGGATCATTACATTAAGTAAAGGAAAGAAAAAACCGACACTAACTGAAACCCCAACAACTACGATTGTAACCCTATGGTGAGACTTTGAGGCGGTCACCCCTGAAAGAGCAACACGAATCACTAACCATGTAGTGGGCTTGACACAGCCAAACTTGTTCCCATAGATCAAACCATACCCAATTACATAAAGAGAGGCTAAAAATTCAAACAAATGGTCAAAACCAACAACAAAGATGAACACAAGAAAACAAATGACAAACAGATAAAAATTACTAGGAAAACTTCCACGGATTCTAGAACCTCATACAACCCATGGTGGTTGTTCAGGCGGAGGTCGGACAGTCGCTAGATTGATACCCTCTTTCAGTGGCGTACCCGCCGTATGACCCAAATCCATGCCATCGAATAGAGCGTTCAGCCTCTCCACGCTAACCATATCTCGATCATCCCTACGTCTCTCTCACTTCTTCCACCATCTTCTCGTTGTCATGATCATCCATCCCGAGCTACGTCCAAACCACGGCAATTCGGCGCAGTGCTGCGTCGATTGAAAGAAACGCCGCACCAGGGCGGCGAAGTAAAAACCCTACGCGAGAGATCTCGCTAGGGAAACACTGACCGAACTTCGATCAAGAAAGATCGAAATCGAAAATTACCTAGCGGCGGCTCTGCCCTAGGAGCTCTCTACGTAGGATTGTGAGTTTTAAAAAGCGAAACTGGGAAAGAGGCATTCTAATTTAAAAAAAAACTGTTTGGAATGTGGCATTCAGATGGGTGCTCACCGCATGGTTAAAAGAAATGAATATAATCTATCACTGTATTGATAGCACAATTGAGTATTCAAAGCATGTAATTATTTATCATGATCTACACATAATATATACCACATCTGTTACAAATCAACTTATTCATTTAATTGTGTTATCATTGTATATATATACATATACATATACATATATATATATATATATATATATATATATATATATATCCATGTCGAGTGGATAGTCGTTCTTTAGCCCTATACTGCTCACATATTTTAAGTTCGAGAAAACTCACATCTGAAGTGATTTGTACTAAAATTGCTATTAAATCCAATCATTAAAGTTTATAATTTCATATTTTGGTATAAAGACTATTTAACTTATTAATTACTATAATGACGCTCAAACATCAATAATTTTAAGGATCACAATTCAATTGTATTAACGGGATTCTCATCATCTGGGATGTACGTTCCCTCTTAATATCATCTCTAAGAAATTAAAATTTATGATGAATAGTATCTATATCTATATCTATCTATATATAATACATTTGAAGGTTGCAATTATGAAAAGTATTGACACATGTCACTTCCACAATTAATATTTTAACATCACTTTCTAAATTAAATGAACCTATATAAAGTTATGCTAAGCACACACATATTTCATATAGAAATACTACTCCAACTAAAATACAATTCCTATTATTTAGGAGTCCCGCCAAAATAAAATCTCATGATTTTTTAAAGTGTTGTAACTCTTTTAACTCCATACAATTCCATACAAAGCAGGCAACGGTCATAACTCTTTTAACGTAAGCAAATTCCAAGTAAAAGTAGTTTCCTTTTCAAAGGATTCGATCATGATCATTAAGGGATCTTTCTATAAAAGTAATACTCCCTCCGTTTCTAAAAGAAAGTCACGGTTTGACTTCACGATTATTAAGGAAATAAATTGACTTTACTGTAGAAAACACTGTTTAGACACTGTTTGGCACTGTTTGGCACTGTTTGGATGTAGATTTCTTTGCCAAATAAGGAAATAAGGGAAGTGTGACTTTTATTTTGGCACATCCAAAAAAGGAAAGTGTGAGGTTCTTTTAGAAACGGAGGGAGTATTGTTTATCAAAGCCTAAGGTGCTAATCATGCTACAGTCACTTCTTTATTAACTGGCAAAGATTTCTCCTATGTAAGATATTTTATGAAATCTAAATTCAAATAATGCCACGTAACTTATGCATGCAAAACTCAAAGCACACACATGTAAGACCCCGTAGTAGCTTTGTCTATGTCTCTCATGAACCCAAATCCAGGGAGACCTGCATGGTTAGATATGGATTAGTTTCATCCCTTGTTCCTGCATGGTTGGTCATCAACAAAACTACATAATCAACATTATATGAATTAATTAACTCGGATTTAGTAGACTAAGCAATTTATGGTTTTTTGGAGTTCCTTTTTGGACCAATCTCACTAATTTCTTTTTGACAGAAATCTCACTAATTAATATACATATATCACGGGTTTTTAGCATAAACATTCACACATAAATGCACGAATCGGAACGACAAAAGGAATTGAATAGCTTGGAAGAGACAAGGCAGAGTTTCAAAGTTTAACTTAATTCAATACGGAGTAAAGATCATAGATTTTTGTTCTCTTAACTAATTATTATTATTATTATTATTATTATTATTATTATTATTATTATTATTATTATTATTATTATTATTATTATTATTATTATTATTATTATTATTATTATTATTATTATTATTATTATTATTATTATTATTATTATTATTATTATTATTATTATTATTATTATTATTATTATTATTATTATTATTATTATTATTATTATTATTATTATTATTATTATTATTATTATTATTATTATTATTATTATTATTATTATTATTATTATTATTATTATTATTATTATTATTATTATGGTCGTTATTATTATTATTATTATTATTATTATTATTATTATGGTCGTCGTCGTCATCATCACCACCATCATCATCATCATCATCATCATCATCATGGCCGACCCTGGCATATAAAAAGCCTTGTGCAAAATTGAATATGAGACTCTAAACTCTAAAGTATAAAACACTATAATAATAAGTTTTTAAATAAAACCTCCTTAGGGTTTTTTTTTTGGATTTTAAGAAGAAAATAGTAGGTGTAGTATAGAGGTGTAAGGTAAATGAAAAAGTAGAAAAGATAATATATTCAGAAAAGTAAAGTAATGACAAAGTATGAAAAAGAAAGTAGTTACAAGCTCGTTCCAAATTGTACTAGGGCATTGTGTGCTAATTACTGTAATTAGGCCTTGTAAAATAAAGGAATTACACAATTGTAATTAACAATTGCATTTTAATTACATTATTTAATGTTTGTATTTAAAAAAAGTACAGAGATAGGAATTTTTATTTAAATAAATAAAGAAATTGCATTTTAATTACACTATTTAATGTTTGTATTTAAAAAAAAGTACTAAGATAGGAATTTTTAAATAATTGTTAATTACACAATTGTAATTAACAATTGCATTTTAATTACACTTAGACCAATCTTTTCTGATTTATCTTCTCTGTTCCCCTCAATTCCCCACTATGCAATTGAAGAGTCAGCTGTCAAGCCAAGGTCAGAGAACTTGCAACCGTTTCAGATTTAATTTGTATCACATCTTGTTAAGTAGATGAAATCAGACTTTGAAATTTGCAGTACTCTCTCAAAATATGGAGTGCACGGGCTTCCTACAATCTTAATTCTGAATTCTACAATGCGTGCTCAATATCATGGCCACAAGACCCTTGACTCTTTAATTAACTTCTATGGTGGTGTAACTGGTAAGATGTTATTTGCAGCAGATGCATATTTTTAGTCCCTTAAAATATCACACATTTTGTATTAGATTCCTGCAATTTTTTTGTTTTTCATAAAACAAAATTCACTATATTTATAGGGACTAAAACATATTCAGTTCTATTTTTAATCATAACTTATACAATTCCTTTATCTCCAATCTAAAATTAGTCTTACAAGATTTCATTAGCCAGAATGATCTTTCTCTCGTGACCTATGTTTTTTCTTTATTTATTGGTGTGTTTATTTACTTATCAATATTAATTTATCTGCTGCAAAGGTTACATGACACCACCAGTAGATGTCATATCCCTAAACAAGGTTGGATGTTCTCGAAACCAGCACATTTATAATACTGGGAATGAACCAGAAAGTTGCCCATTCCCCTGGGCAAGGTCTCGTGAGAACTTTCTTCAGCAGGAGACGTACTTGATGTTGGCAACTGTGTTTGTTCTCCTAAGATTGCTGTATACCCTTTTCCCGTATATCTGTAGGTTTGCTCATTTTTCTTACATGAGATACAACATGAGGATCATGGTTTGAAATAGCGGTCCGCTACCGCTATAGCGGCCGCTATATAGCGGTCACGGTAGGGGCCGCTACCGCTACGGCCCGCTATTCGTGTGTGATTTCCAAATCACGGGAAAAATCCGCTACGCCGCCCGCTACAGCCCGCTATTGACATTTCCGGCAGTACATCACGAACTGTTTGATGTGTAAATGTGTATATGTTGTGAATGATGTGAAAAAATACATTAATGGTGATGCATGGAGTGAAACTCAAAATTAAATGTTGTGTGAATGATGTGAAAAAATACATTTATGTTTTGCGCAATTGAAAATATTTTACGCCGCTGCAACCGTTACAGTCGGTTTCAACCGCGATTGAAAAAATACAACTTTGATTGAGGATAAGCTCCTTGTGGGAGCATCCTCTGCTCTACCTGCACCGAGTATTCCAAGTATTTAGTTCATTGAAGGAACCATGCAAGCGGAGGAATTTGCAGGAAGGAGCCTATGAATGCTAAGGTATGGGCCTCAAAGTCTCTAGCTTCTGTTTCATTTGGCGAGGCCAGCTCAAGTCGGGTTGGACCAGTGAATTTAACTCACTGATTAATTTGGTGCTGGTTCTATAACTTCTATTTCTTTTAGAAACACCCTGCTATTTCCCATTGGGGTTGGTTTCATTGCTGAGGGGAGCAACCATTTTTTTCTACGTTTTATTATTTCGTTGTCCAAACAACATACACGACTCAATCATTGTACTATTGTAGATTAGTTTTCCTTCTTGTGCCATTATTGAAAGATAATGTTAACCTAGTGTTGACCTGTTTGTATAGAACATTTAGCTAATAAGCTAAATTTTGTACTTTTAGATATTTGTTGAACTGTGGTGCAAGGATGTAACTCGTTTTTCGTGTTTTTATCTTCTTGTTGCATCAGGCTTTATGATAGTCACGAATGTGTTGCTATTGCTTTCAAGCGAGGCTTCATGATAAGGCTTCATCTTACTTAACATAAGAGCCTTTCGCTTAACAACAATCGTTATTGTGCATACTTTACAATCATTTACACAAATGATTCTGACTTGTCAAGTTAGTTGCTGATTAAGCATGTTTGTGAAATAAGAGTATCACAAACAAAAAATGTATCACCTCCGTCTAGGCCTGGACTCGGGCCAGGCGGCCCGCCCCGGAACCGGCCCGAACCGGTTACTGTTTGAACTGGCCCGAACCGCCGGCCCGGCCAGGGACCGGTCCAGGCTCGGGCCCCTCAAAAGGTGAACCGGCCTGGCATGTTCAGGCCCGGTCCGGGCCAATTTATTTTTTTTTTCCATTTTTTTTCTTTTTTTTTTCTTTTAAGTTTTTGGGTTGGGCTGAGTATTTTGGGCCATTTGATGTGGTTTGGGGTGGTTTGGGGGTGAGAGGGGAGGGTTAATGGTTAATTAGGAAAAGCCAAAAAAAACTATAAATTGAACCGAGGCCCGGCCCGGACCCGGGGGTTACCCGGGCCGGTTCCGGGCCTCCCCTTTCATGAACTGAGGCCCGGTCGGGCCCAGGCCCGAATCGGGCCCGAATAGGTATGGACCCGGTTCGGGCCGCCCGGCCCGTAGATCGGCCCATCCCGCAACTGTGCGGGATCGGGACCGGCCCGGTTCTCGGGTCCCGGTCTGGGTCGGGCCTAGGCCCGGTGGGGGGGGCGGGTCCGGGCTCGGGCCTTGTATTTGGCGAACCGTCCGGGTCGGGCCCGGGTCCGGGCCGAATTGATTTTTTTTCCCTTTTTGGGGTTCCACCCTGGTTGGGCTTGATGGTTAGGAGGGGTTTGGGGGGTGAGGGGGGAGTTGGGAAAGCAAAAAATATATATATATAACCAAACCGGAGGCCCAGCCCGGCCCGGCTCGGACCCGGTGGCTACCCGGGCCGGTCCCGGGCCTTCCTTCGAAAAAAAAAGCCTGGCCGGGCCCGGCCCGGGTCCATGACTAGGCCCGAACCAGCCCGAGTCCAGGCATACCTCCGTCCTATTAGATATTGACAAGTTTGTGTTATGTGTGAAATAAAATAACAACAATTGTGTAGTTGAGCGGTTGAGGTTATGCAAAGAGAGAGAATTAAACAGAACTATAAATTATTTACTTTAAACGCAAAGCGACAAAGACAAACAAAAAAGGAGAGGTCATAAAGCTCAAAATGACAGAGGGAGTCACAACCATTGATTTGTGGAACGCATATATCACTATATCAGTACGTGCGGACATTACCCAGATCAGACCAAACTAAACCATCAAATTACAATTGTATAACTTCCTTGATGTTCGACCATACGAGGGTAGCTTTATGTTTTAGTTTTCATTTTTGTAAGTAAACCATTTTTTTAAACTGACTTATATTCTCCTAGTGGTGGTGTGATTTGACTTAATCGGATTGATCAATTGTGTGCTCGCGGCTAAGCCTTAGTCGGATTGATCACTCATTTGAGTAAAATTAGCTCGGATGCCAATTATTTAAACTTACATTTCTTATAAAAGATCAATTTCAATGACCAAATCGGTCTCACGCTATCTAAATCAGCCATAAACACTTGTCACTGAGTGAATGAAGAATAGCGTGTTCAACTAAAATGAAATAAAAGAAAAAGAAAAAGACAAAAGCAAAGGAGTCTTCTCCCTCTCTCTGGCTACTCCAGGGCCAATGAATCATCTGGCCAGCCACACCCAGCTCCAGCCTCGCCAACATTCTCAACTCCAACTGATATTAATGCTTCATGACTGGAAGCCAAAGCGGGCGGGCCTGCCTGTTTTACATGATCACACTAAATCATAAGGAAATTATAGTTACTTACAAAGGGATCTATCACACATTATCTTTTTTATTCCTCCAGATTCGAGCAAAATTCATCAAAAGATATTAAAGCAAACTAGGCAATATATTTCACTGAAATTAGAAGCAACAAATAAAATAATGCATGGAGATGTTATATACAAAGGCAATATTGAATCTTAGGTTTTACTCAAGTTCACATCCTCTAAAGTTTCACTTTCACTTTCTACTAGAGGAAACTGTCTACAATGAAAACCGAACAAGGTACAGGGAGAAATCCAAAATGAAAAATGCAAAAAATGTATGATTCAATCATTCAAGGAATTTATTTCTTCAACTCTGTGTGTAGAGTTTTCAACATTATCAAACATGAAAGATTCTTAACAAGATGAAATCTTCTCTTCCTCCAACATTATCAGCCCTCAATTACACAACAGAGGTGGGAACATACCAGGAATCACAAATTAGAGGCTAATAAAATACTACGTAATTGTTTTGGGATACAAGTTTAATGAATTGCTGACCTCTTTGTCAAACTCCCAAAGAGATCAGAGTACCTACTGTGCTGTGATAATAAGATTGGCAAACCAAAAAACATCTGTTCCACTTAACAAGAGGAAGAGCCAAACAGTTTCTATTACAATGTCAATCAGAAATTCATTCTCTTCACCTTCCGTAATGCCCAATGCAAAAACCTCAGTAACATTGATGCATGTCACATAGTTCTCACTAAAAAACAGATCTTTTTATTTAGCAGAACCAAGAGAAACTTGCCCAATGTCTTTTGCTGTTCTTGAGGTACCTGATCCCCATGAGATATTTGAAGTTTTGATGACTTCCTCATAACATTGTCCACTAAGAGAAAGAAGTATGTATGGTGGCAGCTAAACCAAATCAGAGCAAAAGTATGGCAAACTTGAATCAGCTTCTCAAAGTCCCAGGGCTGAATTGTGTGGAAAAGGAATGCTTAAAAGGGATACTACAGACAAGCAGCATTGTTCAGTAGCTGATTGCCTTTGGTTCAAAATGTCTTTCTCAATTTCCTTTCATCAGTGAGTCGTCCCAGAAACCTGCGATGTTCTCTAAGAACTGGCAGCCACCCGAACTAGACACACTTCTATACTATATAGGATTGTAACACCCCCAAAATTCTTACAAAAAATACATACTATAAATAGTAGTTTAGTAGAACATTCCCCAAATGATTAAATTCAAAATAATTTATATTGCAGCGGAAATCAAACTTTCTATGGGTGTTATTGCCACACTTGGTTCTCACATAACCGCAGGCTAAACCACAATTCAAAATAAACCCAAGTATTTAAGTAATTAAATCCAAAACAATTTAGTTGTCCCAGTTCTCAAACTTCAAATTTAAAAGAATGCGAAAATAATGAGATTCGCGAATAAGGGCAAGCTAAGCCCCAAGTTTATAGGATGATACGAAATCCTTGAACGAGTGGGAACTTGGCTTATCATTTACTCTTACCAACCGAATTGGATACGGTACGAAATTATCTTTCATATTCATTCTTAGATTCGACGTTAGGATCTGAATGAAAATTTTCCTTCGTATTAGGTACATCATAATAATGTTTTCCATGTCTCGCAACTGAAGAAATACATGCATGATGCTTCTCATATTCTTAAACCGGAGGTAAACTCCTATCTTAAACCGGAGGTAAACTCCTAACCTTAGAACTCATAACATTTCAAATTAGACTTAGCTATAAGTGATGAGTATGGAGGTGTAGGTGATTGAGTTGGATGAGACGTTATCTTATGAAGAAAAGTCGGTGAAAATCCTTGATACTAAGATAAGAGAGACTAGGAAGAAAAGTGTGAAAATGGTAAAGGTGATGTGGTCGAACAACTTAGCTGAGAACGTGACATGACAAACTGAGGCCGATATGCATGAGCGCTATCCGGAACTCTTTCAGCAAGATAATTACTTATGATCTTAGTTTGGTTTGGTTTGGTTTGAGTTTCAGCGATGAAGCGTCCTTTAAGTGGGGAGAATGTGATACTCCAAGAATTCAAAGTTACAATTAAATTAAATTAATTATATTTAATTAATTGCAACATGAATTCTTGGGTTATCACAAACGTCTTGCCATATTCCAGCCTGACAAACCTTAAGGAACACTGGAACAGACTACTACTCCACAGGTAGTAAATCAAATAACATGACTAACAGAAAACACCAATGAAGTGAAATAACTGAGGCTTGTTTGGTTAGCCGGAAATGGTCTAAATTGTTAAATTTAAGTTTTAAATAGCTAAATATTCGTAAACTAAAATTAAAGCATATCTCTCGAGGTAATGTTGAGGTAATTTTGTAAAATAAATTCAATATTCATTTACTTTTTGGCTATTTGCTACTATGATTTTATTTCTCTGCTATGTATGATACTATGAGGGTTTTATTGTGTGGTTTCTCGCAAGACTATTTACTTGCATTCCTTTTTCAATCTGAAAAACGAATCATATATATAATACCTCATGTCTCAATCTCTGTTTTAGTATGTACATGCATATGCTCAGATGATTGCTTCACAGACTTCTAACTCAGCTAATTAGACAACATGTCTGATTCTTCTCTTGTCCCTAGTTGTCATTTTCTCACCATACCTTTGAAATATATCGGCCAAATCAAAGGAACCAACCTCTCTCAGTTTCCTGGCCATCACCTCAAACATAACCTCCCCTTCCTCGTTCGAAAAGCAATGCAAAAACTTGTTGTAATCAAACCTTGGCACCTCAATCTTCCGGAAAGCCAATCTCTCTGCGTATTTAGTTGCCTCTAACATCTTCCCCGCCTTCACCAGGCCTCCCACAAAAATGGTGTCAAAGTTCACCAATGGATCTCGCTCTTTCCTCCCTCTCCTCCCCAAGTGCCCCTGCAACAACATTATATAAGTATGCATGGTCGGTTCACAACCTCTACCGATCATCTCCCTAAACACTTGTGTTGCCTCCCTTGGCCTTTTCAACCTCAAGAGCCCTTTGATCATACCGTGGAACACCATTACATCCGGCTTCTTAATTCCACCCAGCACCCCATAGGCCTCCCTCACCCTTCGTTTGCAAAGAAGCCCATAAATTATTGATGCTAATGTTGAATGGTCTGGTTTAATCCCTCTCTTGCACATTTCCTCAAACACTACATAGCTCTCCCCGATCTTTCCCTTCTTGCACAGCCAATTGATCACAAGCCTATACGTAGGCAACCCCAAATCGTCCATTCTGCTTGTTCTCATGGATTGTAAAAGCTTCAATGCCTGACCATATTCGTTGTTCTTGAATAGCCTATCCATCATCGTCTCAACCGACTCAATATCAGCCTCGAAACCTGAGTCAATCATTAAATTCCAGATCTTGGAGGCTTCAATTGTATCCCCCACATCGCAAAATCCATATATTAGCCATCTATAAGTAATCACATTGGGCTGTATTGAATCTTTCAATTTCATAACCACATGTTTAGCTTCTTGGACAAGCTTGTCTTTGCACAGAGCCTCCACTACCTTATTCAAAGCACCCACATTATACTCATACCCGAAACTGCTCATTATGTGGAAAATTTCAACGCATCTCTTCAGCTCCCTAGCTGAAGCTAGGGTTTTCAAAGCG